TCTCATGACTTGTGGAGAACCCAAATGTCTTTGGCACTTGGGGTAGAATAGCTCCTGATGGGGTGTATAATTCATACAAATTATTTATTGTATTTAATTATCATAATTTGTAATTCTTCTGAGCACTCACAAAAGTTGCTGTGCTCTGTCCTGTTTCAAGCAACAGAGGTAGTGCCCAGAAAATATGTGGTTCTGAGATTGTGTCATAAGGCAGCTGGAGTGGTTTCCTTTTCCATCCCCATGCAGTCATCATTTTCAATTAAAAATGTGTGTGCACCCCCCCAGACTGTAGGTACCAAGTCACAACCCTGTTCCCCCCCCCCCAGCACTCTTTGCAGAACAGAGCTGCTGATGGGATCCAAAATCATATATGTAAAATGTAAAAAGCAAAGTATAAAGCATAAACCACAGGAGAGCTCAGACTGATTGCCAAGAGTTGAGAAGTCTTTGCTTAGATTGGGTGTAATAACATGTACCTACCTTGTTATTACTGGTATGCCCTGGTAAAAGCCTCTCATTGTGAGAAAAAACACTTGCATAATTTTTCCAGGCCTCATATTTTTCTTTAAATCGTGTGGTTGCGTTTCAGTCTGAAAGGTTTCCAAGGGAATAGGGAGGAGAAAGGAGAGGAGGAGAATGTCCCCTTCCTCTCTGCCGGCAGAAAAAGTATCTTGTCCAGTACAGGAGTGTTAAACTTGCTGTTTAAGTCACAGGGATATTTGGGAACCATCACTGTTCATTCTAAACAAGAAAACAGACCTAATATATGAAATTCTGTAGCTACAAGAGGTGGATTATTGTTGGAAAAGAATACTGAGGATTCATACAGATTTTAAGTAGGGAACTACTGGGGGGGGGGGGGGGGGGGGGGGTGTTAAAGAAAAGAAAAACAACAAACAAGCTGACAAAACAAAAGCCCTAAATGCCATCACAAACAAAAAATTCTCCGTGGGTTGCAGTGGAAGTAATGAGATTTTGGTAGAATCACTAGAGTGTTAAAGGCACGTTTGTGGTCTGTGCAAAGACATAAGTGGGCAATAAAAGCTGTCCTCCAACTGGTGTTCAGATGGGAATGAGGAAGATAAAAGACTGAGGCAAGTCAGCCCGGGAGAAAGGGAGAATGATCTATGGTGAAAAGAAGTCTAGCAGAACTACTGCTGAAGGTTTACAAAGAAAGGCACGTAATAAATGTGGTGAAATAGTTAGCGTACTTCACCGGTGTATTTTCTTCAATAAGAATATGGATCTAAAGGCAGTGGAACCAAACTGACTCCTCTTCTTTAAAATGAAAAAATCTGAACTGAAAGAAACTTGAGTCCGCTTCAGAACAAGAAGAGGGGGGAATAATACTGCGCAAGACCAGTAAGGTCTTCATGTTAATACTAACAAAGAGAAAAATATCCCTTGAGAGAAAAGGGGTATATTTTGCTGTGGGGACAAATTATGAGCGTGGGCCCGGAGCTTCCTGGCTTGACACTTGCCTCAGGAGATGGAAGAAGAAAGTGCTTAATAAAATTCTTTAAAATCTTACTTTTCAAGGATTTTTGAGCCGAAAGCAACCTTTTCTGTCTCAGATCCCAGATAGATTAGCTACTGTTCCCATTCTAGAATGATAGGGTCTCTTCTAATGATCTGTGACTGGTTTCTTCTCCCAAATAACAAGTGAGAGGACAAAAGGTAATGGCCTCAAGCTGCACCAGGGGAGGTTTAGATTGGATATTAGGAAAAATTTCTTCACTGAAAGGGTGGTCAGGCATTGGAACAGGCTGCCCAGGGCAGTGGTGGAATCACTGCATCTGGAATTGTTCAAAAACCATGTAGATGAGGCCCTTGGTGACATGATTTAGTGGTGGACCTGGCAGTCCTGGTGTAACATTTGGATTTGATGATCTTAAAGTTCTTTTCCAATCTAGTTGATTCTCTGATTCTATTACTGTATGATAGTAGACCAAATGGTGACATAAATCTGCAAATGACAGTCAAAAAGCCCTTTACAGTGTAGCCTTTGTCTGGGATCCAGAAATATTCTGACCAATATAGAAGTATCTGAAAGCTTAGGGCTTATTTGTTATTCTCCTTATTCTGTTTGCATTGTGCCTGTGATCCCATGGGAGTCCTGCATCTGCTGAAGCAGATGAACTTAAGTTCGCCAGTTCCAGTGGAAGTAGAGTGGGTCTTTTTGCCTTCACTGCTTCTCAGTGTTAAAAGCCCAGCTTGTTCTTGCTTAGGCCACAACTCTTGCTTAACACAGTACTAATTTGTGTGGTTTATATTATGGTTCGCTTAAAAGAGTATATTTGTTTTAACATAGGATCATTAGTAGACCAGAATTATTCCCCATACAGATGGACCAGCTCCTTCTCTCCTTTTTAGTGCTTTGAATATGCACTGAAGTCAGAAATGACTTATCTCAGAACTCTGTAGAGAAAGTTTATGTAGAAAATTCTGCTCCTGGACAGTTGTAACTTTAAAGTTGGGTAGTGCTGAGAAAAGCATCATTCATAAAAACAGCCTTACTGAAAGCTGTAATGAGACCAAAGAAAAGGGAACAGTTGTGGTGTTTGTACTTTGTGTGTGTGTGTGTGTGTGTGTGCTTTGAGCAAGCAGAAGGTTGGGTTTTTTTTAACTTCACAGTGCAAACGACCTTACTGATGTGTCTGAATGGGCTTTGGGATTCAGCAGATAAACAGAAATTAGCGATATACTAGAAGCTGGACTGCAGTTTGATTTATGGCAAAAGCAGTCTTCAAACAGATTTGGTTTTAGTGTGTATTTTTGTCTTCTCATGAAATGGGACCTGAAAATTAGAAAGCCATATGTGATCACAGAGGAGGAAAGTGCAATTAATCAAAACCACTTTTGTTCAGATCTTCAAAGCCTTTCAGCCACCTTTTCCATTTTTATCTGTTCCTGTGTTTTCAGTTTAGCAGGAATTTATAATCTAAAATGACCTACAGTAGCAGAGTGACTTGTTCAAGATCAAATGCTAAAACATTCCTAAGTACTTTATCTTCAGGAATGCTGAATGTTTCTAGAACCAAGATATTTTTTTAAAGTTATTGCATATTAATTAATTATATTTTAAATATAATAAATAACCTTATATTAAAAAAAAACACAGCACCCACAATAAAACAAAATAAAACCAAAACAAACAAAAAAAAAAACAACACAAACAAAACACCTCCTCCCCTCCCTCAAAAAACCCAAAACAAAACAACACTAAACCTCAAAAGCCACCCCCCCCAATGAGCTGGTATACTTTTTGCTACTTCAGATACTGAAAAGGATCCAAAAATGTCGCTCTTGAAATGACCTGATTTGAGAAAATTTGACGAACCAAGCAGTTAGACAAAAAAGGTATCTGACTATATAGCTGCTTCATACAGAGAAAGAGTAAGCAAAAGTAGTATATTGAGCCCATATCAGTGGATTAATACCAAGCGTAATTATAGAACAAAAGCATTGGTATTAAAAAAAGATTTCTCTTCCAGCTGTGTTGCCTTAGCCTACAAATGTGCATAAGTAAAGGGGTGTTTTGTTAACTAAAGTTCATTGTATTGTTTTGATTAAATTGTGTAGTCTGCGGCTGTCTTACTTGTGTAAATAGCAAAGGATTGGCATTTCTATAGAATTTTCTGTGTATTTGCTGTCACTTAAATTTATCTTCTCTGTGAATTAGTGTGCCACTTCCGTTTGAGCAGGGAAGGCAGTGTTTCACCTCCAAGGTATTTGCAACTTTTCTGTGGGGTGGAGGTTTGTCAGCATTACGTTAAGGGAGATAATGACAGTTTTTCATGTTTTCCCTGAAACATGATATGAAAGGTGAAAGAGGAAGACTACCAAAAAGGTTAACAGCCTCATACAAACTGTTCGTTTTTTTTTTTGCAAAGCTACTGAATGCTGAATACATCCTGAATGCTCTTGTTTTGAAGAGCTGTATCATTGCAACAGAAGCATCATCCTGTTATCATCCGATATCTCTGTCATTGCCTGAATTTCCACTCGGATCTTAATTTTGCTTTTTGCTTTACAAGGTTTAGTATGACTGCACTAATGTCAGGACACAGAGTAAACATGGTTTCTCTTGCCTGTGGTTCCAAACAAAAGGTTATGGAAATGTGAGGGGATTTTAGCATACTTGAAAAAGAAAAAGCTACTCCACAGAAATAACTGCTCCCATAAAACCGTGTTGCTGTAGCTTTTCTGTTACCAAGGTGCATATATCAATAGTGGAGAAAGAAAAGCAGAGGGATGTTTCTTCATTACCCATGGCAACAGTATCATCTGCGCCTTTCATTTTTGTAAATGCATTTTTCGTACTCCATAAAAGCTTGTGACTATTCTATGACTCTGAAAACCTGAGCACAAATGGAAGTCTGTCGATGTATACATTTCTGAAAAGTCAGGTTTTTATTTGAGTCATAACTTTTATAAGAGGATGTGAACATGGCCTTTGGCGTGCTTAAGAATCGCAATATCTAGTGACCTAGACTGGTGTTTAGATTCACCTTAGAAATATGTTTTCCTTATACAGTACTGCATTTTAAGTTCCTGAACATGTTGTATTGAATGTGTACTTTTGTTTAATCTGTTAGTAATGACGTACGATCTATTGCACTTACTGTAAAATGTTTTGAGTAGGTATGTCATGTTCTCCTGTCTCTGTTCAAACACTGATACTCTTGGCGTCAGCTTTTGTATCTGAAGCAAAATAATACCTTCATGGGTTCTATGTTCTTTTGCCTAATTTCTTCAGTATGTTGAAATTTGTCCACTCCTTCTACAAGTTAGCCAAAATTACGCTGTGTTATTTCACAGACATTTCATAAAGTAGGTTGGGACTTACTTGGTGAGGGAGGGGGGGAAATAAGTGCTTTTTTATTTTGTTCCTTTAAGTAGGCAGGTATACAGTGGACAAAGATGTTAGACAAATGTTGATGGTTGCTTGTATTTCAAGATAGTTTACTTGGTATTGAAAGATGGTCTTCTTTCCCCAGCTTCTGCCAGTGGATGGACATCAAATAGTGTTAAACCACCTGGAACGGCTGCCCCTAGTGAAAAACCTGCACCGGCACCTCCGCTAAACGAGCAAGACACGTTGGTTCAGAGGGCAGAGCATATTCCAGCAGGAAAGCGTACTCCTATGTGTGCACACTGTAATCAAGTCATTAGGTTTGTATCTGTGTGCTGGGTATACTCTTTGCTGGGTAAAAAAAGCTGTCTGGGTGGCCAGGCCCAAAAATTGGTGGTGAATGGAGTTAAATCCTGTTGATGGCTGGTCACAAGTGGTGTTCCCTAGGGCTCAGTAGTGGGGCCAGCTCCGTTCAATATCTTCATCAATGATCTGGATGAGGGGATTGAGGGCACCGTCACCAAGTTTGCAGACTACACCAAATTGGGTGGGAATGCTGATCTACCTGAACTTAGAAAGGCTCTGCAGAGGGGTCTGGACAGGCTGGGTTGATGAGCAAAAACCAATTGTAAGAGGCTCAACAACGCTCAGTTCTGGGTCCTGCGCCTGGGTCACAACAACCACATGTGACGCTGCAGGCTATGTCCCATATTTGTAATGCACAGAACAGAAGAGCCTGCACCGTGTTTCACCATGGTTAAAGAAACTTGTTTGATTAGAAAACGTGAGTTTGAAAAAATGAGTAGCTGTATAAATTTCATCAGTATTATAGAAAATAAGCCTTTCCACCACGGGTTTTTGCAGCCTTTTGAGCTCTGGCCTGGATTCTGCATCAGAAGATGCAGCTAACTCAAATTACTTGATCTCTAGGGGTCAGCTGAGTCCAGCTTGTTTATTTCCATTAGATTTCTGTTCTGATAGGTCACTACCAGTTCAGCTAAAATTGGGTTAATGTTAGAGGATGCTTTACTAACCGATCTGTGATCTTTTGGAGGATTTTTTCCTACTTCTGTTGTATATGTCAAGGAAATAAAAATACATGACCTGAATCCCCTTGAAGGAACAGAAGAGACTATTCAAATTCCTAACATAGGTACAAATTTTTTACTTCATTGCAAAATGGAAGATTAATATCAGAAAGGTCCACACTTTGGGGATGAGATTGATCTGCTTCATTGAACAGCTTGGCCTCTATAACCATTCTGTCTGTCTGCTATTCTGACCTTTTTGTTCCCTGGGCTTTGGATTTGTGTGTAGTAAATAATAAGCAAGCGACCATGCACTGTCCTTTTTGTTACTATCACTTCAGTTTAAAATTCAGACTGAACAGAGTAAATACATTACATGCTGAATCTTTCATGCAGGAAGCTTCACTGCTTTTTGTAGTGCCTTTGTGGTTTAGCAAGGTTTGCTGAAGCTCTGTGCTGCAGGGTCTCAGAGCACAGTCAGCAGATTGTTCTTGAGCAGCCAGCATTTCCTCTCAGCCCTTAAATCACTTGCTGCTACTCTCTGCTTTTCCACCTTGATCACCATTAAAAATGGGATTAGCTGCCAGTAGGGTAGTGTACTGGTCCGGGGAGCAGCTTTTGCTCCTTTGTGTATGCTTGAGGAGAACTACTTCATAGAATCATAGAATACCAGACTGGAAGGGATGTCAAGGATTATCTGGTCCAACCTTTCTTGACAAAGCCTGGCCCAGACTAGATGTCCCAGCAACCTGTCCAGCCAAATCTTAAACTTGTCCAATGTCAGGGAGTCCACCACTTCCATGGGGAGATTATTCCAGTGGCTGATCTTATTGTGAAAAATTTTCCCCTGGTGTCCAACAAAAATCTCCCTGGGAGTAATTTGTACCCATTGCCCCTCATCGTTTCCATGTGACTCTTTGTAAAAATGGGTTCTCCATCTTCTTTTAGCCACCCTTTAAATACTGAAAGTATTAAGTACTTGACAGTACTTAAGCCACTGTCACCTATTGTAAGTGATACCTCTTCATGAATAGTAACTGATACTCATGTCTAACTTCTTTGTAATCTGCTGGTGATGTTTAAATCCTTATATTTTTTTCATATGTTAAATGCCACTTCAATTATTAAAAGCAAGCATTATTGCATTTGAGGATGAGTTGATGTGCATTAATGTTAAACATGCCTTGTATTCACAGCATACAGTGGATTTGGAATATTGCAATGGCATTTTGAATTCAAGTTTTAGAATAATTACAGTTCATGCCCTCAGGTAATACTACCACTATGAAAAGGTAGGAGGAGGATCAAGCGACATTGCATTGTTCATCTGTTTTGAAGCCAAAATGCATTGTGGAGTTGGTTACTTTACACTCAGGCACAGAATAACCACGGTTGCTCAAGCCAAAACCATTTATTAGAGACATCTTATAACTTTTTAATATATCTTTAATTATTCATGCAGTGATGGTCTGAATATTCCATTTTTTTCCCAAAGCTTCTGTAAGTAAGCTTTTCTTTCCATGTGTAAATGAATCAAAGCTAGAGGCAAACTAAATTTCCCATGATCTACTTGCTGTGATGGTCTGATAAACTTCTGACATTTCCTGATGAAGACTTCTGGTTCCCGGGCAGTCTTACCAAGTGCTGCAGTGCAGAGCTGGCTCTTCCTTTGAAGTCCAGATATGTTTTCCCTGAATCTCCACTGAGAACGTACTTGTTGGCATGTCTGCTTGTGAATGATGAGTTGGCCATGTCATCTTTTCATACAGCTTAATTGTTTTTAAAGGGAAAAGGGAAAAAGTACGAATGGTGGTTCACTTCAGCATCTCCTATACAAAAATTATTATTCTGGCATTTTCAAGTGAGGAGAAAAAGAAACTTCCCAGAATGTAGACTGCTGTATGGTTAACTGTCAAGCGATTGGTCTACTTAGCAGATGTGAGGATCCTTTTGATCTCTCTACCACTAAATTTCAGTTCTGGCTTGCTATCATAATAAAAGCCACATGGGAAGTTAGATTATTGACCTACTAACACATCATGACCATACTGATGAAGTTGTATTTAGCTACAAGTGTAAAGATAGAGAAATTGTGATTATATTCCCTGTATGTTACTTCTTCCTGCTGGCCCCTATATCATTTCTCCATGCAGAACCCAGATGTTTTAGGTGGCTAATCCCAAACCCAACAAACAAAAAAACCTTACTGTTTGCTTCCTTCTGTGAGTTTGGTTCATGTGGTCTAGATGGTAATGCCAGAAATTTGTTCAGAAATGCTTAGCATGTCAAAGTAGCCTGGGATAGAAGCACATTCATAGCCAACTTTTGCCTCTTTGATCATTGTATATCTTTGGATGGAAGCAACATGAGTTTTTAGCACCACCTTTAAAAAATACGTTCTAGTTGACAGAGGCATGGGGCAATTTTTATTGTTTTAAATGGGGAAGGAAGGATGCAGCCATCTTCCTAACATTTCAAAGCCTAGCTACTTGCTGTTAGTTGCCTAAGAGTGGGCATGCATCCCTCTTACTCAAATCAGACCTTTAAACACCTTTTCAAATGAATACAGCAAATTAATACCTTTCATTACTGAAAGCTATCGTTTTGATCACAAAAATATGCAAAGACCAGGAACACCTCCAAGTTCTGAATATCACATTTTGGTGTATTTCATGTGGCAGGTGTTTATTTTTTTCTTTCTTCCATGTGCTTTGGGGCAGCTTTTAAGTCACTGGTGTCATTAAGCTGCAGCGATGGCTTGACATATTTAAAATACTGCCTGATTAAAAGCAAAATTGTATTTAGAAAGCCTTCTTCTAGACGTGTGTGTAGGGAGCCAGCGCACTAATGGAACACCTTGGAGACATTGTGCAGGGCATGGCCACAGCTGTTTGGGGACTTTGGGAAAGAAACTCTGTAGATGCACTCTCAGGCTGTTCCCCGTCCGTCTGCGTTCCTGCGCGCTGTCCTGAATGGCTAACCTCAACATGTCAGAGCTGTAAACTCTGGAGGGCTAAATGCAGCAGATGTTGTAAAAATTCCTTCCTCTCCTGTTGCTAGTGTGCTTTCTTTCCATTGCAGAGGTAACTGAGCCTATTGTTTCAGTGCAGATGGCCAGAAACTCAATCCTACCTGGAGCCGGGAGAGCCTCTTCGGTGTCAGCCCTGTGTTAATGAATCTGTTAAATTAGCCTGTGCTGACACGGCGCACTGAGAGCACTTTGTTGTACATAAGGGCTTGTATTGTTTGATCAGTACATAACTGAAAGGGCATTGATGTAAAAAGGTGCTTGTAGAGCAGTGAGAGGGTATCGGGTTAGGTCAGTGTTTGCACTGCTTAAGCATCCGCTGGGAGTGGGGGCCAGAGAGCTGCACTCGACCCTAGCTCCCTCCTTAAAGGGCTATGAGCTGCTCTCTGGGAGACTTTTTCACTGCTTTCTCTCCCATATCAGAGGTGAATAGAAGAAACTATTTCAGATTAAATATGGTCATCATCTCAGATGGTGTGTGAGTTGTCCGAAAACTGTTTGAGTCCCTTATCTTTGACTTCTCATCCTGTTGAAAATCCATAGCAGCTCCAGAGAAAATGTGGAAGAGAAACAAAAATAATTACCCCGTACTCTTGATGGAGTTGCCCTCTGTCCTCTGCCCACTAGAGTCAATATAACCCTGGAAGCAGATTTTGAGGGTTTTTTTTTCTTCTCTATTATTATTGCTTTGTTCACATGAAAATCTTATCTTACACAAAAAATGTTCTTGTAGCTTACTCAATTTCCAAAGAAATGCTTAGCAACAGCTTGGTCGTATTAGTACTTCCTGCAGTGAAGTATTAGATTGAAAAAGAAAAAAAAAGATGTGTTACTGAAAAGATATCATCTTTATTGGTCTTCAAAAATGGGAAATCTGGTGGGTGAGATGAACTTGAATCCCAAAGTTCACCTGAAACCTAAAGTTTGAAAGGTTGAGTATTGGTGGGACCTTAGGCACCTCATTAAATATGTTCATTAAAGAAATTAGCATGCAAAATATGTTTTCAGATGAACACAGAGTGATATATGCCTGGGGTTTATGAGTTACAAACTGCGAATTTTTTGTTGACTAAGAAAAAGACAGTTCATCTTGTCTGTTAACCTTGTTGCATTAGCCACACAAACGCTATTAAAAGCATCATTATTTTGTGTTTGCAAATAATAGCGGAGACTCTGTATTTGGAAAATATGATCCTTTTTAACTATCTTCTGACAGAAAAGAAAAAAAATAAACACCAATAACTGGGATAGGTTATCCTGTAACAAATTTGTTGGATAAGGACGGTGATTGAATTTTTGCCTCATGAGAAACTGATGTTATCAGCTCTTAATGGAGGCAAGTCTACGTACATTTGTGTGCTTGATACAAATGCAAGCTGAAAGAGAGTGGATCATAGCACTGTGTCATATATCTCTTTGCAAGAGATGGAAATAATTGGGAACACAAGAAACATCCTTCTTGTTCTCCTTTTCCCTAACAGCCACTTCAGCATGGTATTTAATGTGGTTTTAAAATAAGATTTCTGAAATGCAATGAAGTGAAGAGAATTCATATTTATTGTGGTCAGGTGTTTCTGGGAGATGGTTCAATGGGAATAAATACAGTCCAACACTTGATGCTTATTCGGAACCTGTAGAGGGAAAGCGGGATGAACTGGTTTATGTTTGCAAACTGTGTAGTAATGGCACAAAAGTGTCATAGCTTAAGCCTATTAACAGCTTTTGCAGGAGCCAGCCCAGGGGCATTAGCTGACAAAATCTCTTCTTTCTAATCAGAGGACCCTTCTTGGTGGCTTTGGGGAAGTCATGGCATCCAGAGGAGTTTAATTGTGCTCATTGCAAAACGTCCATGGCTTACATTGGTTTTGTGGAAGAGAAGGGGATGCTTTATTGTGAGGTCTGCTATGAGAAGTTCTTCGCCCCTGAGTGTTCAAAGTGCCAAAGGAAGATTCTTGGGGTAAGTGACCAGCAAGTGACCCACTTCTCAGTGGGAACAATAACCACAATGTTCATTGCTTCTCTGTAGTGAAATTCCCCTTTATCTGACACAGTCTGCATTTTTCCAGACATACTCTGACATACCTTTTCAGCTCCCATCACACACAGAATATGTTTTTGGCTCTTCCAGTGTTGTGCCTTTTTGGTCTCTTTGAGAAGCTGCAGTCTTCTTGGCTCTTCAGGTTCAGCTCCTGTTTTCGTGAAGCTGTTCTGCAGCTGTTGTGATTTACTGGATTTTCTTGAGAAAAATTTAATTGGCAGCTCTTTATAGAATTGGGGAGGGGCAGGGTGTGTGTGTAATAAATAATGCTCTTTAGCTGAACTGAACACTGTAGAACTTGCTGGTTGGCTAGATGTGAAGTACTGAACTATTCCCAGGGGTAATGTAGATAGAAAGACATGTTATCAACACCAATATTGCTAATTTGAGCCCGCCAGCTGATTGTTCACTGCTCTACTGCAGACAGCAATGTCTCTGGACTCTTGTCCAGGGCCCTCCAGGGCTCTGACAGCACAGTTCTCAAGTCATATTTGGCACTATTGCACCTTCCAGTACAACACAGAGTGATCGTAATTTTCTACATGATGTTTTCTGTTAACTATTCACAGACTTGAGGAGACATCAGAGACGCTGCTTTTCTTATTTCAGGGGACTGTTGTGGGTGAGATTCTAACTAAAATGGAAAGGGTGAACAAATGAGCTGTTAAATCTGTCCAACTCTACATTGAATCTTCCAAAAAATGAAAGGTTGCTTATGACAAACAAGGGGATGTACTGTAAATAAAGCACTTTGTTAAGTTTAACATCAGCAGAAATTGCATGCACAACCCATTTTCAAAGTAGCAGTAGGAAACAAAATATTCTTGAGACGAATCAAGTGTGGAGGCATGGTCACCACAGTCTAGTCATCACTTCAAAATAATGTGTTAATAACACGTTTTCTAATCCCCACAGGAAGTAATAAATGCTTTGAAACAAACTTGGCACGTTTCCTGCTTTGTGTGTGTGGCCTGTCATAACCCCATCCGCAATAATGTCTTCCACTTAGAAGATGGCGATCCCTACTGTGAGACGGGTAAGAAGCAGCACAACCCAAGTTTACTGCATCTGTGTGGGGAAGGAGAGCTCAATAAGGTTGGAAAAGAATAACAATTCCTTTTTCTTAAGCGTCACTTCAGAAGCAGCTCTCCAGAAAATTTGTGTAACTCTCATATGTCAATTCAAAGCAGCATCAAACACTGTAGACACTTCCAAGATCGCAGGAGAAGTTGGTGAGAATTTTTTCACTGGCTTCAGCAGGAACAGACTTCTTGTCACTGGTTTTACTGGTTGTTCCTGTTAAGCCCTCAGCGGTCAGTACCAGTGATACAGCAGTGTTAATTTTGGGGTGACTTTCTGGTTGACTTTAAAATAATATGGAATTTATGTAAATCTCCTTATTTACTAAACCAGCAAATGCCAGTGGAGTAATGTGTTTTATTCTGAATAGCTTTATTCACAGCTGGGAGGGACTTCCAAGAGCAAGCAGTCTGCCCAGGAAGTTTTTTGCAGGATCAGGGATAACATCTGTTGAACATAAACTTGGCACGAAAAAAACAGGCTGTTGAGGGAAAAATACAGTGATATGATTATAGCACTTGAAAGCCTGATGAGCAATATTACATGAAAGATGCGGCTTAGAAGTTCAGAGGGACTCTGGTTTGGTTTTTAGCACTTCCAGCTAATCATATCTTTTTATTAGTATGAAGTTTTTTATTTTTGTTGTTTTCCTCCTTTGCTTAAAACTTTCCATGTATCCTTCTGGGGTTGGAAGGAAAAAGATAGTATTTGTAAAACAATTCCCACAAAATTGAAAAGAAAGAAAATTGTATCAAAATTGTCTATTTTCACACTGCATGATATTTACATCTGTGTTAGAACCATCAGTCAAACCTTTTCTGTTTTTCCTGTAGTTTTAACTAGAGGTGGAAGTGGATTGACCAGGAAAAGATTTAGCATAACATCCTGGCAACTGGTTTAGAGCTAAGATTTCCTTCTGGATTGATCCCACAGTTGCTCACAGTGGGTGCCATGGAGAGTTCTAGGTATAGAAAGGATAAGGAAAGCAGGCAAAATTCATCTAAAATTTATCTGTCAGAGTGGCTGTAATAAGGTGTTGGCAGATACAGAAGGACGCAGTGGGTTATTGCCAATTCAGTGACATGAGTAGGGTAATGTATTGCTCCTATTCAATTCATGGAGCAGCAGAGGAAACAGATACATGAGCAGCATCCTCCAGTGTGACAGCACGGTGAAATTTCATCCTGGAGCAATCCGAAGCCCTTAATCTTACAACCATTTGATGATTCAAAAATAGTACTGAAGGAATCAATAACTCCCCTTGGGGTGGAAAGCTCGTGACCAAGTTTGTTCTGCTAATACCGAATTCTTGTTCCTGCCACCAAATGACCTGTATGTTGTGTGGTGCATTGATTTGTGCTACTGTTACCACTTCCTTGCTCAAATGCACACTTTTATATACTGTGAGCACTTTTCTATACTGTGAGGAAACCAGGATAAAAATATCAAGAATACTATGCTTCTCACAAAGTTTATTTCTGAGATAGAAAGTTTCTATCACAACTTAATGTAGGTACATTCTGTGAAGTGTTATTGGCAGTGACACATTGTAATGGCCATGGCTTTCTAACTAGATGTTAATTTGAGAGATATTTGTTCTTCAAAGACTTCCAGTCTAGCTGGAGCTAAGAGTCTGTGACTAATTTTAAAGGAATAAGGAGTAAATGCCATTGCCAACTTTCCTTCCTAGTCAAAGGAATGTTCTAATTTTAAATCTATGTTTGAAATTATAACAGCATTAGCTATTAGTATTAAGGGGGGGGTTAATCTGCAAAATGTTCTGCGTTTGGATGTCAATGCTAAATTAAAGTGCAGATATCTACAACTTTGAACTTTAAGTGCAGAGTTAGTAATCTAGTTTTGAAAATGCTGTGTGCGGGAAGCATTGGTATGTGACTGCATGAGAAGTCTGCTTTGGAAGGCTTCTATGGTATCACAATTCAAGCATGCAAAGGAAAGCTGATGCCCTTCAGTCTGCCTTATCTATTGCCCTTTCTTCAGAAGAAAAGCCAATAACCTTATCAACACAAGCCACAGCCAACTTACAAAGGGCTTTAACTACTGGCACTAGGAAAATATCACTGAAAGATTCTGTATGAACACAGATGCAAAGAGCTGAAACAGTGTGGTCATGAGACTGTCCTTCAGGGTGTTTGCACCCTGATGTGTCCTACCATTTCACATTTATGTCGTCTGTCTCCTGCTTAAACACTTGCAAATTCATTCCAGTAGCACAAATTAAGGAAGGTAATCAAGGAAGCTGTTTCTTGCCACTGGCTGCCATTGAGGGCTTTGCTTTTCCAGAACACTTGTGTTCCCCATTCTTCTGAGATGCCTCCTATGGTTATGCTTTTTGAGATCATCATACAAAACACTGTCTTACTGAACAAAAAGAGGACTTTTTTCTTGGGCTTGACACATGATAAAGCCTCTGTTGGCTCTGCTGAAGTAGGCACTAGAGCTTCAGCACATCTGTATAATCTGGTAGAGAAACAAAATCTCCTTGTACCCTGGGTGCCGCTCCTAATAAGTCTCCTTGAAAACAATCCCTGGTATCTAATTTCCCTGTCAAAGGCAGACTGTTACTATTAAGGATGGAGTCCAAAGCTTCATTATGGTTGCCACTCTGTTCTTAAGTTCATCTTATGAAGATGTAATGTTGCATGACATTATGTATTTGCCATGGTAGCGTGCCAGTTCCAAATTCTTTCATTTTATAGCACTCATGCTGTTGTCTTCTGTGCAGGAGCATAGCATTTTCTTCTTAGAATGGGATGTTTGAGAGTTGAAATAAGTAGAAAAGACCAGAAAACCTGGTCTTTTTTTAGGTCTGCACTGGCAGACAGCAAAGGGCTGTGGTGACTTGGAGCCCCTGAGATGGCTCTATGCACAGAAAAGTGAGTGCCACACACTGAGGTCATGGGGATGGGTATGGATGTCAGTGCCTCCCACCCAACTTTATACATGCATTTTATCTTGCTAGTCTGCCCTGCTCTCTCTTTTTCAAGCTCTGCAATCAGTGAGGAATATCAACAATTCGATGCCCTTTGTTTTGGTCCCCGTTCCCTGAGACTGCTGGAGGACTTTTTCTCTGCTGGCTCCAGGGCAGCCTCCAGCACCACCAAGTCAATCTTGTGACTGAAAATGCGTGGTGCAAATACACTTCAGTGATGGCAGTCACTAAGAACCACCCTAACACCTTTACTGATACTTTTTGTTAGAGGCCTCTGGTTTGGTTTGGGTTTGGTTTTTTTTTGGGGGAGTATTTGGTTGGTTGATTGGTTGGGGTTTTTCAAAGCCGTAATAAACTTCATCGACTAGAAAACTGTTCTGACTTGATCTGCATTACTAGACTGTTTAGGACAGAAGCCTAATGATTACATGATTGTGTGTGGTGCATTCTGGGGCAAATATTGTGCCAGAATGTAGGCAGGCTCTCATTACTTGCTGAGGTCTGTCCTGTGAACAGCCAGGGCATGCTTTCAAGACAGAGCTGGAGAGAATGTAAGGAGCACACAGAGCCCACACAAGTGCGCTTGCATTTGTGTGGCACACAAATTTCCCACCTTGAGTATGCTATTGATCTCAAGGAAATGAAACACCAGGAAGATGGAAGCATTGCTCACTTGAAAGGGTAAGGAGGGAGCTGAGAACTGAATTAGCAAGGAAAGGAGGGCATCCTGGTCTCTCGATCTAGGAACTCTTTACTCAGGGTACCCAGAATTACAAAACTCAACTAGTGTAAACCCACTGCCATTGAAAGAAAAGCACAATGGTTTCAGAGGGTCAGTCTTGTTTTTCTGCAGATGCTTCAGCTTTAAAATGTGATTGTATTTGTTCACAGATTATTATGCCCTCTTCGGTACTATGTGCCATGGCTGTGAATTCCCCATTGAAGCTGGAGACAGGTTTCTTGAAGCTCTGGGCCACACTTGGCATGACACTTGCTTTGTATGCTCAGTAAGTAAAACTAATGTACATTTCAAACAAACCCCTGGCAGCAGTGCTTGTGCTAACCTGACCAATGTGGGAGTTAACAGCTATAGGCTCTTTCAATCCTCTGAGTCCAAACAAAAAGCACTTTCCCAGTTATTTGGAAGGTGTGTTGCTATTGTGAGCCTCTGGCACCAGTCCAGAGGATTTGGCCTGTGTTGCAGCCATGTGTCCTGGCATTTAACCCTTTATTTAACCCTTCCTCATGGCAAGCTCTGAAGGCCATACAGGAACAGGCTGTTTTGATATGAAGACACTATAGCCGAAGTATCACCTGCTAATATTGTATGACCAAAAAAACCGCCTAAAACCCCCAGACCTAATGATTGGTTTCTTTTTAAATGCTGAACCTAACTCTGCTCCCAGTTAAGAGCTTGCTGACTTAAAGAAAGAAGGGTTATGCTGACATCGACCATTAGCATTTCGTCAAAAAGAGTGTCCCTAAGAAAAAGTTAATAATTCTTATTCTTTGAACGTATTTGTGTACAGGCCATGGTTTAGCATTCTGAAAAATGTATGGTGTAATTCCTTCCTCTGAATTGGGTGATCTTTTCTCTTTTTTTATCCCATTTCAGGTATGTAATGACAGTTTGGAGGGTCAGACTTTCTTCTCCAAGAAGGACAAGCCACTGTGCAAGAAACACGCTCACTCTATCAACATCTGATGCATGTAGCTCATCTTGTGTAACAAATGTACTGAGCAGAAAGAAAGGTTAAAATGTCCATGTTCAGTAATGGGTCAAAATTATTTATATATGATTTTCTAGAATGGAAAAAAAATGTAAAAACTTGTGGAGGGTGTTGTACACAAATTTAAAATGTTTATCAATTATATGGGTTTCCTTCATAAAAAGATAGGAATCAGGGAATTGCATCCAAGCCAAACGATTGGAGTGCCTTTACCTCTACATTTGGCACATTAGTGTATTGGTTTCATGATGTTATGACCACATTTTGTATCTGCTTCGGTATAAGAAGTGAAGCATCTGTAAAAATAAATACTGGTATTAGAAGTCTTGGGTTTTCTGCTATTCAACAGATAAAAGGAGATTGGCTTCAGCAGTTCAGATCACTTTACTACAATGTTATTTGCAGTGTGTCTAGAAGTGTTGCAGCTAAACTCCATTAAAAGGAATTCAAAGCAACGTGAATATTACACAGACTATGTAGTTCAACTAATATTTTTAGCTGATACTCATATACATGATGAAGTCTCCTGCACATGTACCTGTGCCTTTGCAGTTAAATTTCTCATGAATCTGCAAAGGACAGAGATTTTTACAAAGCAGTTACATGGAGTGGTGTCCATGCTGGTGAACAAGAATAGTTTAGAAGATGCTACTTAGAATAAATCATAAATGGGATACTCTTCCATCTTCCTTAACTACCAGAACACTAGCCAAAATTCTGGTATTCTGGTGTACTACCAGAATACTAGCCAAAAAAAAACCCTGCTAGTGAAGGTATGTTTGACAGGATTCAAATGTCAGAGCAGATCTTAAAAATAAGCAGGGAGTTACACTCTTATGTTCGCAGTTCAGATTTTAGATAGTTTTAAGTGCCTTGGAAAGGGGAAATTGCACTGAATCTGCAGGCAACAGGTTTATATTCAGAATGTGAGACTCTGGTGTTGAATGAGGGAAACTGCTGAAGTGCAACTGAGGACATTGTTTTTCTCTCAGTACATTCTTTACCATGTAGCTCATGAATATGTGTATTGGTGATGTGCCAGGTAGTATGCCGAAAACTTGCTTTCTTGCTCAGCTGTTATGATTTTTTTTTATTAGTTTAGGTTCTATTTGTCTTTCTTCCTTCATGTGTAGGGAATATATTGTTGACTAATATAATACTGAGTTAGGCAGCTCAGTATCTCTCAGTTCTTGCAAGGGAGCAGAGAGACAATGCTGTCATCATGCATTTACTGCAAGCCAGGAGATGTAGCCGTTTCTGTGGCTTGGTACGGATTTTGCCTCCATACAGAGAGTCAGTGCAAGACCTGTGCACCAGCTAAGTCCCTCTTAGGGACAGGGATGGTGTTGGTAGGGAATAGATAGGGAAGAGGTGGTGACCCTTGGCGTGGGGTGAATGTCACACCAGCAAAGTTGCACAACAGGGAAGGGGGCCCTCTCGGGGCCAGATCTGATTCCTGAAGGAAACTGAATTTACTTGCTATTTAATTCAACTGGGATATCACAGCTGAATCATTAGTCTTTAGTGTTCTTTCCAGTAGACATTAAAAGTAACCATTTGCAGATTTTGTTGTTTTGGGGTTGGCTTTTTTTGTTGCTGTTTTTTACTAATACAGAAAACAGGTTTATGCATAAAACCATGCGGAAAATCACAAGGAATTGCCATGGTTGAGTAAAGCAATTGTAACAAGGAACATCAACAAAGGGGGGGGGGGGGGAGGGGGGCACTAAAATTCCTGTGCTAAAATATGAAAAGGTATTTTGCTTTCTCATTAATTCAGTGAGACGGGTTCACATTGTGGGGCTGTTTCAGTTTATTTTCTGAAGTTGTTTTTTCTTCAATACTACCACGTGTCTCTTTAACTTCTGGTGGTACGGAAGAAATGGCATACGGCTGTTTAAAATGTTTACACTCTTGCAGATGTGTTCTTTCGTGAGTTTGGCTGAAAATCAGAGGGGTAGAAACAGACTGGACAAGATACAGTAATATATGAGCCAGGTTGCTTTTGAAATTAGGTGAAATGGGGAGAAATGAGACTTAGAGGGTAGGTTTCAGCGGAACTATATTGCACATGCATGAGGAAAGAGAATGAGAATGCACAGGATAAGGCGTTCAATTATTTCTGCAATAAAAACCTTTCTATTTTAAAGTAGGGTAAAAACTTCTCATTTTGTCATTGTCCTTAAGATCAAATTGAATTTTGTTTAGTTCCATAATTTTAATTGGAATTATACTTCTTAATCTATAAACTCTAGGGATTGAAATTTTGCAGTCATGAATGAATTTGAGGACACAAGCCTGGAAGGCTCCAATAGTACTGCTTCATTTAGCTGCTTTGCCTTTTAATTTCTGCTTTTATCTATTCGTTTAAAATCTAAAAGGAAGCATAGAGTCGCTGATACGTAATAATATTTAATGGCTCTACCAAATTATATAAATCAACTAAAAGGGACATAATTTTTAGTGTTATTTTAATAAGTGAGATTTTAGTAGAGCACTTTATAATAATGCCATATATCTCACTGAATATTTATTATCTGTTTTTTGTTTAGGACTATTTCATAGTAGCATCTTTGGGTTTTGTTTTATTTGTAAGCCTGCATATTTACCTCTAGAATTTGCTGGGGGGTGTGTGTGTGTATGTGTTCATATATACCTCTCTATACATGCACGCATATGCATATACATTGGGAGATATTTATATATATGCACATACACATGTCTTTAACTGCAGAATTGACATAGCAAAAAATCAGCACCCTTCTATCACCATTTGAGGATTTAGTGAGATTCCCAACTACTTTTCATACAACACATGTATAGCATTCATGTTTTGAGGGACTGTTGGAAAGTCAGGAGAGATAACCTAACTTCTGTAGTTTTCTGCATGCATTTTCAGTCAGTAATTATTTTTCTTCCAAAAAATTATTTTTTTTTCTGCCTGTAAGAATACTGGGTTTAACTCCATTTGAAGGTAGAAAGTCTGTATAAATTAATAATTGAATCATCACAACATTTTTGGTATATTGTAGCTAAATAATTCAGAATTATATGTAAATATAAATGCTTAATATAACAATGCAATAAACTTGAAAGCAACAGTGAGCCGAAATGTTTTTCAATGTGTGTTGATCTCTTCAATTGAATACCTGTTTCTTCATGGAGTGACTTGCATCATCTAGCCATACAAGTGGCTTCGCAAACAAGAGTAAGAAGGGGAGCTATGTGAATTCACAGATTACTGGTTTGAATTTAATTTGTTTTATTCTCATTATTTTATGCTAAACCACCAGTTGTAAAGTCCTGGTGATTTCCTTTCTTGTGTTTAATAACCTTGAGCATCAATTTTGGCTGTTCACATCTGCAAATTTAATTATAATTAAAAACCAAACAAACCCAACACAAACCTCCAAACTCCCTGTTCTCAGTTGTTTTGTGGTTACTGGATGTTTTCTTTTCCTGAATCATAGGTAGTAAAGGAAAGTTATGATTGTACACATGAATAGGTATTATTTGTGTTGCTTGTTCTTCAGATTTTTTGGGGTGTAATGGAAGTTTGCTTTACAGTAAAGGACCTGGAGGTCCTGATGGACACCAAGTTGACCATGAGCCAGTGATGTCCTCTTTGTGGCAAGAAAGACCACCAGCCTCCTGGCGTCCATTAGGTGGAGCGTTATCAACAGTGTGAGGGAGGTGATCATCCTTCTTTGCTCATCCTTGATGAGACACATTTGAAATGCTGGGTCCAGTGCTGGTCTCACCGGTACAAGAGAGATGTGGATATATGGGAGTGACGAACGAGGGCTTGGAACATTTGTCACACATGGAGGAGCTGAGGGCTGATACTGTTCAGGCTGGAGAAGAGAAGGCTCAGGGGACCTCTCATACATGTGCACAAATACTTGGAGGGGAGAGTAAAGAAGATGGAGCCAGACATGGCAAAGTGGTACTTAGTGACAGGACAACTGTGAGGATGGTCAAACATTGGCACAGGTTGCTCAGTTTCTGTCCCTGGAGATACTTGGAACCCCAGTGGACATGGCCTTTGGACTAGCCAAGGTCCCTTCGTCTCCGAACACCTGATACAACCTCAGTGAGTCTCTAATTCTCTTCCATGCCGTCTTCCATTCTTAAGATAGAGTGGAAGATGGAAATATGATAGTGAGCACTGTAGAACATGGAACAATGTAGAACTCAATATTAGCCAATTACTATTTATTTACTGTTGTTGCTTCATTCTACTGACTGGCTTGGAATACTTTGCAGTGCTTGTTCGGAAATGGTTAATATTTTCCTAAGTTGAGACTGTTCAAGGAAATACTGCCTACTCTGGCAAGCAATATCCAATACTGTAGCTAGCCTTGGCACACAGCAGTCTCTGCTTTCACCACGGGATACTTAACTGTCTACTATAACTTGGCCAATTACTTCATGATAATACCAGCCTGGTAAGGCTCTCCTTAGCTGAGTATCTCTTAACTATGCAAATGCACCGTTGTTTTCTACCTTTATTTACACAAGTAAAGGAAAACATTGCACACAGCTCTATAAAATTTAGAGGCAACTTTACAGAAAGCTTGCCTCCCCTTCAGTGTTTAGGCTATGAACGAGACAAATGCACGTCTATTTGCAAACAGTATATTAAGCTCCAGAAGCCAAACTTTTAAAGGCATCAAGTCTGTATTTGACATTTTAATGGCAAAGGTTTGGTTTCTATCAATCGCAACGTCATGTAACATTAAAAAAAAAAAAAAAAAGAGTTCTGTCATTCATTCATTAAGATGCTGTAATCCAGTGTAAGATTTATAGGCTTAAAGCTCAACGGTGTGTTTTCACAATAAATCCACTTTCACTGCTCAGCACAGAACAAATCTCTCTGTCACTCAAAATGTTTGCTGGTCAGAATGCCCTGTATGAGATCTTCAAAGGGTTTCTCACAAAATTGCATATAAATCCTTTTACCAGTAAAGGCTTAATTTAGGTTCAAGTTTTATTTTCTTGGGACATTGGTTAATATCTTGCGCTCAGACAAGATCTTGGTTATATCAGAAACACATAGGGCCTAATTTATTATTAGCAGGCTGGTGTTAATTAGGGGGAATTACCAGAAATAGTTTGCTTGATGGAAATTTATTATGGGATCACACTTTACTGATGGCAAAATAGGAGTCACTGAAAGAGTGCAGCTCCTTCTCATAACCAACTAATTAATAAGGTGCCAAAATTCCTCTGAGAAGGGTTTGGTCCTAACTATGGGAACCTCACAGAGAAAGTGGTTCCTATGCAGTATTTAAAATTTAAAAGGGGAAAAGAGAGAGGAGGAAAAGCTGCCCAGCAGAAGTCTCAAAAGTGGTGTGGCTTTCTCTTGAATTTACAAAAGAAAATATTTAGCTGTGTGTCCAAGCTCATTAAAGAATTGCTTTTCCCAGACAGAAAAACAACAGCTAGTTTATAATCTCATTTGGTGTGCTTGAACTTGGTTTTCAGTTTTACTTGTGCATACTGCACACTACAGCCTGTAACTTTATGAATTGGGCTTATAATGAGCTTTTATATTGCTCTTTATTGCTTGCCTGAAGGTCTTTTTCATTATTGTTTACCATGAAAGTTGAGGTTGGCATAGATAGGAAACTTGCATCAATGACCAAAAAATAGGGCAAAGTGTTCACATCTCTGATGAGCCCAAATCTAGCAGGCTCATGAAAGTTTGTCTTGGGTCAGAATGGCATGCTGTAATAAGATGGAGTGCAAGCAAAAGTGTGACTAAAGAAATTTAAAATAACCATTCTAAAATTTACATATGGCTGATTTGGAAAAAATATTTTCCATAAAATCTATTTTTTCCCCAAATATTTAGTAATAAAACACTTTTGTATTTGCACTAGAAATACCTTAAACTTTTTAAAAATATCTGTTGTTTTGAGTATGTTTTGAAAGCTTTCTTCTTATACTGAAATGAAGGATTGTGTCATTGTGCTCTAAGTAATATTCACACTTTCCATGGAATCACAGTTATTTCCTTTCCAGCACGCATGCCTTTGCTTTGCTTTTTCTTACTGCTGGGCAGTGCCATTGTTTGTTTTAAAGCATGTCAATACGAGATAATCCTGTCAGGTGTGTCCCTTATTTCTCTTTGTGATGCATCAATGAAATGTCAAATGTTCCTTTGGTAAATATAAACTTGCACTGAGTTTTGGCATGTTTTACAAAGTGTCAAGTTTTCCCACCCAGAAGTTTCCACTGGAAAAATAACTCAAGATACTAGACCAAAGCGGTAATTATATCCCACATAAACTCTTTCTTTCCCTTGAACTCCATTAAGTAGAAGGGAAACACATGAAAAAAAATGTAGGGCCAAAATCATTGATAACCTAAGCAGATACAGCCTCACTGATTTCAACTTATTCCCCTCCAAATTAAACATGACTGGTATCAAAGCTGTATTTAAGCTTCTGCTGCCATTCACCCAGTGACTGAGATCAGAATAAAACTAAGGATCTGAGTGTCACAAATCTACTTGAAGGAATGCTCTCATTTGGTAGATGACAAAACACACGAGTAGCATGTCTACGCAGAGAAGGAGCATCACTACAAGAAGTAAAAATCCTTCCTAACTACTTCGTTTCTCAAATCTCAGATGTTCAGTTCTCTGCATGAACAATAACAGGTTGGGTATGAAAGTGGAAATCTTTCCATGATACTAATCTGCATACTCAAGCACCTTGCTGGTTAGATTGAATTTAATTAAATTTTTACGCATTTCTACTCAAATGTAACATAAAATTTTTGACCCTGTGCTTGGATCAGTATTCTCTAAGAATTAAAAAGATGGTAAATTCATAAATAACTTGGCTCTGCATGAAAGATGAGCTATTGGCATTTTCACTGAGTGAAAATTAGATTTGACCGAATCAGAATTCTGTAAACCCTTCAAAGTGTCCATTAGGGGTGGATTGAGAATTACTCAGATCTCTCAAAAATTAATGGAGTGCTTGGTTTTTCAAATTGACTTCCATTACTGAAAGTGTTGATCATGACATATAAAAGCAATCACCTTTTCCTGATGCATGCAAAGAAATTATATTTTATAGGGAAGGATTTTATAGATATATATATTAATATAGGGCATGTTTTTCTTTGTATGTGCCTGGCCTCTGCTTGTTGGAGGCAGGTAAGTATTATGAAATAAAGCAATTTCATATTTATAGCACCTAGGGCCCAATCTTGGACTTACACTTGGATTTAATCAACCCCAGTGAAATTAATCTGCTGTGTGACTTTTTTTTCCCCATGTGGTACCCACTGACAAGCAATAAAGGACTGCTGGGACATTCTGACCAGTGGTATGTGGAGAAGCAAATAGGTTGGGCTTTCTCTGAAATAATTCAGTGTATATCAATGAAAATAAAATGATATTACAAGAAGGCTTCAAATTTGTCTTTGAATCTTGCATATTCCTCATTTCTTTACATATTTTCCCGAGTATGTGTCTGTTCAAGTGCTTTTCCCCCTGTTTTAACAGAAGTCATGTCATAGTTGGCTAGAAGCTCCTGCAAAATCTGGAGAGATGTTAGGTTTTGGTGCTTTCCTTTTTATTTATTCCAAGTAGATGTCTGTTGTGGTGTTATGGTTTAACCCCAGGTGGTAAGTACCATGCATGACTCGGTGGAGATTGGTTTCTAGGGATGTGCTGGTCAAGCCTATGGTACATCCCCCCCAAAAAGTCAGCAATAGCCTATTTTCTTGCTTTTAAAGTTTGACTTTTACAAGTTTTTATAGCTTTGGTACAGTTTTCCTGATACCACATCTTCTAGGCAGTAACATCATTGTAATAGGAGAATTCTGTATTTTTCTGCTTAATGGCAATTAGCTGTCAAGGATTGTGGTGCATTGTGGGAGCACTGGATCACTAGCTAAACAATGTTCTGCCACTGTGAAACTGCGAGTCATAATTTGGAATGACACAATGGATGCAAACAGTTAAACGAAAATCAATACATGGGAGCTGTGGATTACCACCACATCTGTATCCAGGCTCCAGCTCCTTTCCTTGGGTAGGTCCTGCGCTACAGAGGTCTTGTCAGAAGCAGCCAGCCAAGCCAGAGATTCATG